TTGCTGGTGAGTATTTGCTTTAGGTTGGGGGGTTGTCTGTAAGCGAGGACAGGTCTGTCTCCCAAGATCTGTGAGAGTAAAGGATCATCTTTCAGGATAGGTTGTAGATCTCTGATGATGCGCTGGAGAGGTTTTAGTTGGGGGCTGAAGGTGACAGCTAGTGGTGTTCTGTTATTTTCTTTGTTAGGCCTGTCTTGTAGGAGGTAACTTCTGGGTACTCGTCTGGCTCTGTCAATCTGTTTTTTCACTTCAGTGTGACTAGGTTTCTCTGCCAAACATGTCAGTTTTGACAACCAAGTGTAATTCAAAGTACTCATGCCTTTGCCATAACTTAATCTCTGTGAATCAGTTTTCAGTTCTAGTTGCTATTTTAACAAAAACAAAAAAAAACCCACCCCCAAAAAAACTCTTCCCACTTTACTGCTGAAGATGACCTGTGCTGTTCCTAACAGAAGTGTTTTACCCAAGGCTCCATTAAATCAGTGTCCGGTTTCCAAAGCCATTCCAGAGGAGATCACTTGTATTGGATTGTGACTAGCTGAAAGTCAGAAGTGTATGTGTGTCATAAAATGAATAACTGCAGTGGAATGTGTACAAAAGGATTTTGTGATGTACCTTGGGTTTTGCAATGACCTAAATATCCAGTGCTACATAATAACATGTATCAACAGTTCCAAAAGTTAAATCATCCATATGTCTAATACTTGTCAGTGCCCAGAGACTACAGTGGAGAGTTCTGTAAGGTAAAGAAACAACGAAAGCAGTAGTCTAGACAAGACAAATGTGAAGGCCTTATAATTGTAAAAAGAAGTAGGTTACTTTGAACATGACCAGCAAAGAAAAATAAGCTTGTCCTTATTCTGTAGCTTTGATATTTTATGTAATATCTCTTGGTTTTAAAGTTTCTGATCTGTTTTACTTTAGAAACTCAGCTTCTGACTAGATTAGATATTAAGCTGCAGAACTAGTGAAATGGTGATTTCACAAGAGCCAAGAGTGAAAGTGCAATTGACTAAAATTCCCTTCATTGTTGTTTAAAAGCTGTTTAACACCTGCATGACTTGAATTATTAGCCTTCTGAATAAAGGAAGCCTTTGTTTAATGCAATATTTCTTGGTTATTTCAGTTAAGGTGTTAAAACTCCAACATCCCAAGACCTCCCAGAAGTTCTCCAGCAAAATCAGAACAATATTTCTAATGTGAAAACTTGGTCTGCCTTCATAAATCAGAAGCACAAGCCAAATCTTTTAAAATCCTTTGCTGATCACCTTCAAAATATATTATGCCACCTTCAAGCAGCTTTTTAAAATTGATATAGCTAGACCACTCTCTGGGGTCTTGTATATACTAAGAAAGCTCCCACCAGTGCAACTACTAGTCAAGCTGTACTGGTGGATCTCAAGTGTAGAAAAGGCTCCACTGTCCTCTCGTCTTCCCCGCTGTGTTAGTTAAACCTGCTCCCTCTGCCTAGAACAATTCTGACAACTCTGTCCAAATGTGGAACTATTTGTTTAGAAGTATTGCTAAAGCTTTTTTCCTTTGTTTTGTAGGGATAGACTTCAAGATCAAAACAGTTGAATTACAAGGAAAAAAGATCAAGCTTCAGATATGGTAAGTGACATCCTAGAACTTGTACTGCCACCATAATTACGATATGGTTCCTAAGATAGCTTAGCTGAGCTAAACTACATAATGGTTTCCAGTCCTATCAAGATGAATTGCCTTATGTGAATATCCATATGCATTGTTGCTTAAACTTCTTTTTCAGAAAGTAGGAGGAGAACATTAAAATCATATAGAGATTCCCATCTAGGTACTCTGCCTATCTTGAGTATAATGTCATGAATGCATTGTGTATTTCTTATAGTGATGGAGGTTCATCAATAGGTTTATGGAATTTTCTTAAAGGATATGACAGCAGAGTTAGAAACAGAAAAATTAAGTGATTAAAACTTGGCACGGGTTAGAACAGTTGCACAGTACTAATTCATATTACTTTTCTGAAATATTGAAGGAAAATATACCTTAATTTTGTTAAAAGCTTAATGCATTTCAATAGGGACAGTAGCTGCATTTCATTTGCAGGTTATTGGCAACTCTTCTCCGAATGTTTGAAAACTGGGACTGCTGATAGTCCATGGTTTTGTGGAAAGTGTTTAAAACTGATTCTTCAACAATGAACTGTATTAGTTTATAGTATGCTGACTTGGCTTGTATTTTGTAACCTAAATTTGTGTAGATCAAATAAGGCCATGACTGGGGACACTATAAATCACCAAGAATTTGTAAGATGCCTGTATAATTTTTCTGTTTGGCCTCCTACACAATATCTTACCATAATAAGACATGTAAAGCATAAATACTTAATTGGCTGGTGAGCTTACTTTTTAATACAAACTTGCATGTAAAGCGAGCTATGTTTAAAAACAAAAAAACCATTTCCTCAGGAAGCAGCTTTCCCCTGTCTACTATGATGACCCTAACTGATGGTTCTTTCTTACGTAGTAGCTCTCCTAAAAAATAGGCTGGGATAAAGATGATATAGTTTGTGGGTACTGACAATCTAGGGGCAGCCTTCTCTGGTCAGTTTGCTTGGACTCCTTTTTCTCAGCCAGGTGCACTCTCTGCTCCTTTGGTTGTTTAACTTCTGATTAATCTGCCCACTTCCCTGCTCTGCAGTACAGGCTAAAGAAGAATTTGGTGATTCTGCAGAGCAGCGTAATGGCCTTTTACTTCCATATTTCTGTTTAATGTTCCCATCCATGCCTGTATTGCTCCTACGGCAAAGGACTTTCTCAGCAAGAGCATAAACATATGAAACTGATGCAGCCCTAACCAACTCCAGGCTGGGTCAAAAGGGATGCACCGTGTAGGATTAATGCATGTAAGATGGGTGAGGAGAGGGAGGGAGCCTAAGACTGCACTTCCACTTGTTGCTTTAGCAGAGGCATTTTAATTCGTTCCTGAATTTTTGTCTGTGTACCATTATTTTAGAGTAATCTTGTTTCCTTTTCGCAGCTGCTGTCTCCTACTTCTGTGTAAGCTGTAACAGACTTTGCACCAGAGTATGGAGTGTACATTTTTCTTTGCATTTCCTGAGACAAAGTGAAAGCAGTTATTTACCTTATAGGGTTGCTATAAAGATAATCATTTTGATGACTGAAGTTGGCACATACAGCACTTTTCAGGTTCAAGGTATTACCATGCTGCTTGTGTTCTAGCCAGAGGGAAGTGTCTATGTTGAGAAGAACTTACAGAAATTCAGTCAATTTAATATTTATTGCACCATGTGTAAACCCAATAAACCGATGACCCTGTTCATTAACATGCTTTGTATCCTGAACATTACCACCTCCTTGTACACACCATGTCTTCTCCAGCATTTTGCCTAAAAAATGTCCTTATCTTCTAGGAATACCTCTGAACATATCCAGGATAACGGGGTCAGTGGCAATAAGCAACAGTTGTTATAAAGAACAGATTATACCAGGCAAAGTTGATTGCCTTTTTAGATAGAAATACAAAGCTAGCAGATGAAGAAACACTAATCTCTGTTGAAATCATTTGAGCATCTCTGTAGTCAAAAGCAAATCTAAATGAATGGTTTCAGTGAGGGCATTATCACTTGGATTGGAAAGAATTGGAAAACAAGCTAACAAAAGGAATATTGTGGAGGGGAAGGTGTCTGACAAGGTTCAGTTTGTAAAGCTGCTCTCTAGAGCAGAATCTAATGAACGCAAAGGGTATAAAAAGGACTTTAAGTTTGCAGATAATAAAATGGGGAAGAGTTGTGAACTGAAGTATCAAGGTGACTTAGGGAGATTAAAAACTATGAACAGAAAATGGAATGCAACTTGGAAGAATGCCAGATAATACATCATGGGGAAATTCAAGACACTCACTGAGGAGAGAGAAGACTATGAAACAGTAATGCTGAAAGAGGCATAGGAATGTTGGCCTGCAAACTAGACATGGGTTTTCAATATTGTAATGCAATAAAGGCAAAAAATTTTAGGTTGTGTGCATTCGCACATCAACAGGGAGCAATGAGGAGTGGTTCCTCTATGCTGATGAGACTTCATTCATCTTTGGACACCTGACAGTAGATAGGCTGGAGGGAGTTTAGAGTGGAGCAATCAGAAATAAGGTTCTAGAGGATATTGACTTAAGGAGAAGAATTGTGGATGCTGGCTGTGATTACAGCCTGGGGATCTTTGGATCTAAAATCATGAGCCTTTGTTACCTCAGCTAAAGAAGTAAGTTCTAAAAGCTATTGTAGACTCAACCCTCTTGACAATGAAGAGCCTCTAGAAAGGGACAGCTACACTTTTAAAATAGAATGAGGGGCTATAACAAAGTAATGGGATGACTGTTATCAAAGATTCAGGATGTCTTTGAAAAAAAACTTTTAGCAGATAAGAGGTGAGAGAATGTGGAGTAGTAATTGCAGAGGTGGAAAGCCAAGTTCTAGAGAAATCTAAAATAAGAAAGGACAAAACTCCAAGCAGTCTGATTTTAGTGGCTTTAGATCGCTGTGTTGGGATTTAGAAGAGTTGGATTCTATTTCCAGCTCTGGCCCTGACTGGTGTGTAACTTTGAGCATGTCACTTGAACTCTACCCATTTCCCCTACTGCTCATTTTGTCTTGTCTACTTAGTCCCTGCCTTGAGGAATTTAGCCTCAGTATTTTTACAGCACCTAGTACAATGAGGCTTCAGTTTCTAGATCTAACAATACAAATATACAAAATAGTTCTTCTCTGGCAGCCTTATGGACTAGATCAGGGGTAGGCAACCTATGGCACGCGTGCCAAAGGCGGCACGCAAGCTGATTTTCAGTGGCACTCACACTGCCTGGGTCCTGGCCACCAGTCTGGGGGGCTCTGCATTTTAATTTAATTTTAAATGAAGCTGCTTAAAGCTTCTTAAACATTTTAAAAACCTTATTTACTTCACATACAACAATAGTTTAATTATATTATAGACTTATAGAAAGAGACCTTCTAAAAACCTTAAAATGTATTACTGGCATGCGAAACCTTAAATTAGAGTGAATAAATGAAGACTCGGCATACCACTTCTGAAAGGTTGCCGACCCCTGGACTAGATAATATCTTGGTAGCTGAAGGTAGTTAGGGGAATGGGGAGAACCTGTCTGGGTCAGGGGAGGACTTTTATCTGTAGTAGGTGGGAGGCTGTTAACGTCTTGCTTGGTCTCTTCCAGGTTGGCATCAATGTTACCTGGTACAACTTTCTATAATGGCCTCCCAAAAACCCCAGACATTGGCCAGCCCTGATGGGTATAACTAATAATATTATAGAATTGTGTGGATTTGATCCCTGTAATACATTTGCTGATTTTTCTCAGTGCAAGCTGAGTACATTGAAACTGTCTTGCAATAGATTTATGTTCAGTAGAGTTCCAGGAGCACTTAATTTACCATGTACCATTTTTCACTGAAAACAAGGGGGCCTTTCAGCAGATATTACTACTTAGCAACTATAATTTATCCTTACTATAGCACCTAAAGGTCCCAATCAGGACTGGACCCTCTGTATTCTACATTTGTGAAGGGTTCAGTCACAGAAACCCCCTTGGGACTGTTACCTGATGTGCTGAGACTACCTCTGAGCCCGTTTTCTCTGCCAGTTTGCGCCTTCAGAACCCTGTTTTATTGAGCCAGATACGCTAATCTGCTGCAACACCCCCCCAAAGCTGCAGACTTAATTGAAAATGGCTTAGCAAGTGCTCCTGTCTTGAGCACCCAGCTCCCAATGGGATCCAAACCCCAAATAAATCCGTTTTACTCTGTATAAAGCTTATACAGGGTGAACTCATAAATTGTCCGCACTCTCTAACACTGATAGACAGATATGTACAGCTGTTTGCTCCCCCAGGTGTTAATCAGTTACCCGGGGTTAATTAATAAACACAAGTGAGTTTATTAAGTATAAAAAGTAGGAATTAAGTGGTTCCACGTAACACAGAACAAAGTAAAACAAAAACATGCAAGTCTAAGCCCAATACAGTAGGAAACTGAATACAGAAAAATCTCAGCCCAGAGATGTCCCAATAAGCTTCTTTCATAGACTAGACTCCTTCCTAGTCTGGGCCCAATCCTTTTCAGACCAATGTTTTGGTTTATGGCCTGGGTCCAACAATCACTCACACCCCCGTAGTTACAGTCCTTTGTTCCAGTTTCTTTCAGGCATCTCTTTGGGGTGGAGGGGCCATCTCTTGAGCCAGCTGAAGACAAAATGGAGAGGTTTCCAGGGTCTCTTATATTCTCTTTTGTGGGCAGAAACCCCTTTGTTCTTCTGTGCAAAATCACCGCAACAAGCCTGAGTTTGTAGCCACCTGGGCAAGTCAAATGTCCATGAATGATTCAGCTTTTTGCAGGCCGACGCCATTGTTTACATGTTAGTTTGACGTTCCCAGGAAAGCTCAGATGTGGATTGGCGTCTCCCAAAGTCCATTGGCAGTTAAGTGTTTCTTGATAGGACTATTCTCAGTAAGTGGCCATTCTCAAGAAGCTGACCAAATGCTTTACTGAGGCTACTTAGAATCAAACACATTGAGATACAAGTACATAGCCAATATTCATAACTTCAAATACAAAAACGATACACACATACAGCCTAATCCTAACCAGAAAATTACAGCCTTTCTATAGACACCTTACTTGACCTCCTTTGTACAAGATTTGGTGCAGCTATAGAACCTTGGTTGCAACAATGATCTGTACGGTCACAGTTCGTGTCAATAATGTCACAACATTGTACAAACACCCAGTCCTTGCTTCAAAAGGTTTATGATCCGCTTTGAAAAGACACAACAGGAAAGGATCAAGATCAAAGGATAAGCTATTTTTTTAATGGATTGGGTTCCCATGATATTCTCTGCTTTATTTAGGACTTTGTTTTGATGCTGTCTGTAAAAGTAAGTTTCTTTCCATGTTAATACATCTCCTACCAGTGGTGGCTGCTGATGTAATATGTTTGAGAGAAATCACTTTGTATAACACAACTATATTTAATTGCCACATCCTGTATTTAAACGCCTAGGTGTACTTAGTTACGTTATTTATTTACAGACTTGTGTCCCACTCCCAACACAACAGCTGCTAAGCAGGGCATGTATTCACTGGAATGTGACTTGTCTAAACACAAGTTGTACTGTTTTAACTATACCACTGCAATCCTTTAATGTGGGTACAGTTATGCCAGTTTGACACTGTTTTATGCCAATAGAGGTTGCACCAGTATAACTACAGCAGTAAAATCACACCCCTAACCAAAATAATTGCATCAGTACAAAAACTAGAGACCAGGCCTTAGGTGTTCCATTGGAGAAGGGAAGCTGAGGGTCAGAAGAGAGGCTGACTGGAAGGCAAAGGGGGATCAGTTACACACAGGGGCATCATTTTAGTAGGGGGAGAGAAGACATTTAGCATTTGTGTACCTTCCACTCCTACTAGGTTGAAAATTTGTTTACATTAAGTGCAATCTATGAAATAATGCTGTATTAAGTGTTGGAATAAGGTATGACCACTAGCTGTAGGTCTAGGCTTTCATGTCTTCCATTAACAATGACAACCCCTTTGTGATAAGAAAGATGGCTCATCAGGCAGGAAGCCATTTTTTAAAGAGTGCCACTTAGTGACTCAATTGGCCAGAGCACTTGCTAGTGGCAGCACTAACTCCCAAGTAGAAGCGGGTATTCAACTTTCTTATATAACATCACTTATTTTTTTTAAGAATGAGTTTGTCAAAATAAGTTTGGGGAAATATAGGCTTGTGTCTTCTAACAATGGAATGAAATTCCTCAAATAGCCTGAAAATTGCACATTGCTGTATATTCTGATGGAGAGGAAAAGGGGAAGATGGAATCTTAATTAAAAAGAAGGCAGGAAGGAAAACTACCTGGTTTATTAAAGATAAGTACAACCAAAGGGGTTGTGTAGTTTCAATATTTTACATTTTTGTAAAATAGATGGAAACAACAAAGGGGTCATGATCTAAGTAATCATCTGGAGCAGGACTTTCTCCCATCTTGAAAACCCATGTCTTTTTCTGAAAAATCCAGATGAAGAAAAACCAGTTTTTATGAAACAGAACTAAGCGCCCTATATAATTTGTAATAAAAAAATATAAAGTGAACACCCTACGCTTTGTATTCTGTGTTGTAATTGAAATCAATACATTTGAAAATGTAGAAAAACTTCCACAAATATTTATAATTTTAAATTGGTATTTTATTGTTTAACAGAGCGATTAAAACTGCAATTAATATTGACTATTTTTTAAACCTCATTACAATTATTTTTTTAATCATTTGACAGCCCTAAATTAAAGACTAAATCAGGATGGATAAAAACCATTTATAAAAGTCAGTTGATACTCATTCTTTAATTTAAACCAGTTTTATATACATGTTGCTAGTTCTTTAATTTGGCCCTGTTTTATAGTTTTTTACACACTCCAGATCAGGCTACAAGCTTCAACTTCCAGGCATTAGATTGTGTGTTACCGTTGTCTCCTAAATTGAAGAGTCAATTATCAAATATGTTATCAGTATAAATACTTATAGACTGGTCAAATATCCCTAACTTCTTTGTTCAGCTAAATAGATTGAGCTCCTTCAGTCTCTTGCTATATAAGGCATGTTTTCTAATCTTTTAATCATTCTCATGGCTCCTTGAACCCTCTTCAATTATCAGAATCCTTCTTGAATTGCGATCACCAGAAATGGACATTGAATTCCATTAGAGGTCACACCAGTGCCAAATACAGAGGTAATATAACCTCCTTATTCCTATGCACTACTCCCATTTATGCATTCAAGGAACACGTTAGCCCTTTTTGGCCACTATATAGCACTGGAAGCTCATGTTCAGCTGATTATCTACCACTACCCCCCCAAATCTTTGAGTCACTACTTCCTAGGATGGAGTTCCTCATCGTGTAAATATGGTCTACATTCTTTGTTCCTAGATTTGTACATTTAGCTTTATTAAAATGCATATTGTTTGGTTGTGTCCCATTTATCAAGCAATCCAGATTGCTCTGTATCTGTGATCTGTCCTCCATTATTTAATAATCCCCCAACTTTTGTATCATCTACAAACTTGATCAGTGATTTGGTTTTCTTCCAGAACATTGATAAAAATGCTAAATAGTTTAGGGCCAAGAACTGATCCCTGCAGAATCCTACTGGAAACATCCCCAATCAATGATTCCTAGTTTACAATTACATTTTGACTCTCCTTTAGCCAGTTTTTAATCTGTGTAATGTATGCTATGCTAATTTTATATCATTCTGATTTTAAATCAAAATCTGCAATACCAAGTCAAACGCCTTACAGAAGTCTGTTACATCACATCAGTGCTATTACCTTTATTATCTGAACTTGTAATCTCATAAAAAAAAATCAGGTTATTGTTATAGGGTCAATTTTCCATCAACCCATCTTGACTGGCATTAATTATATTACTCTCCTTTAATTCTCCATTAATCAAGTCCTGTATGAGCCACTCCATTATCTTGCTTGGGACCAATGTCAAACTGACAGGCTTATAATTTCCCAGGTCAGCTTGTTTACCCTTTTTAAATATTGGCACAGCTTAGCTTTCTTCCACTCTTCAGGAACTTCCCTGGTATTCCAACACTTACTGAAAATCCTCATTCATGCTCCAGCAAGCCTCTCAGCCAGCTTTTTCAAAACTCGTGAACGCAGTTTTCTGTTGCTAAAGTGGTGTTTTTTCTGCTTGTTTCTATAGCTTCCAGTTAGAATTTTCAGATTTTACTTAAACCTTTTTCTACTAAGCTTCACATTTAAAATGTTTGTGCTGAAAGAAAAGTCTAGGTCCTCCATTGTGTTCTCATTGCAAATAGCTCGTGCTTTATTTGCAGGCAGTGGCACCTACAGCTATATTGAACTTCCTCGAGGACAAGAAAGCTGAAATGTCTGAGTGGCCAGCACCAAATGCTTCATAAGAAGCTGTAAGAACCCTGGAAGATGTGGGGTAATGCGGAGGGCAGATTAGATGGCCTCTGAGGATGTCTTTACTGGATAGTTAACCCCGGAATTTGATACCCACATTAGCCTTGTCTGGGTGCAAGCATCTCCACAACAAAGCCCTAGCGATGTTACTGTTTCTGCATTCTCACGTGTCTGTCTGGGGGTATATCCCATGTTTTTTTTTTTTGTATTGAGACACTGGGATTCTTTCCCAACCAGTTGTCTGCCCTCCAGATGGAATTGTGGGAAGCACATTGGAGGAACATCAGCACCCAGGCAACTTTTTACTTGTATCCTGATTGCAAAGTGGGTAGGTTCTAACCTATACCTCCAGTCACATAAGCTAGCCTAAACTTAAAGCACCTCCAAATCTAGGTCAAAAGTCTATTTGGATGGTAGGGGGAGTTGGGCTGAACCCCGGATAAGATCCCAGATAACTGCTAAGACGTACCTTAAGAGAGGCTAATGCCTTGAAGCATGAGGCTTAATTATAGAAATTTATGAAGGGATATTAACTATAACTAAATAGTTTTATCCTAAAGTCAGGGCTTGTGCTTCAGTCACTCAAGTGCCCTTGAAAAATCCCACCTCTTAAGTGCTTAAGTAAGAGTTTAGGAGCATAACTTTAAGCTTCTGTTTGAAAAATTTGAACACGTGTAAGAGTTTGCACTAATAATGTACTGAAAGTCTAAACTTTCCATTAACACTGCAGCATTAGGGGCTAAAACTATATGCACTAAAATTTGGTGTCAGTTTTTGTTGCTTCAAAACGAAAATGGCTCAAACATGACTTTAACTTTAAATGCATGAGAAGTCCCATTAAAGTCAATAAGACTATTCATTTAAGTTTACAAGATCAGGGCCTTAATTGTCAGTATTTTACCTATAACATTTTTGGAGAAGTCAAATAAGACCCTTTTAGTAGTGATGTTGAAACAAACTAGCCCTCTAGTGTTTATAATTTAGTTTATTAGAAATCGAAAGCACAAAATTTCTAATTGGCTTTTACAGAACCTCAACCTGACTTGAATCCTTAAATTCAACTAATTGACTGAGCATGTTGAACTATTACCTGCATGATCATTACCTTGTAACTGCTCAGGGGGGAAAAGGAGGGTCTTTTCGTTGCAGCTTGATTGACTGGTTAGTCATTGTCATCAATTGACAATTCGGTCTATGCTGAATGGATCATTTCATCCACAGGTGGTGATTCTACTGTTTCTTGAAGAACTAGATTGTCTTGTCAGACTGACTAGATACTAAGGTTTTCTCAGTATTCAAGTTCTTATCAAGATTTGGAAATCTTTAAGGAACGTTGTTTTTCCAGTTCACACATTCTATATTTGTATTTGTGATACTTCCAAGGGGTACCCACGGTTGTGAGGCACCTTGCTACCACCTGCCCTTAGTGTGAGCAGGTCTTGTCTGCGCCTGCCAGGTGTCGGCTCCCTTATTCTCCCAGCCACAGACAACACAAGCACTCCCCTCTCAGCCCACCCCGGCTCCACTATCCCTCATGCAGGTTAGCAATAGGCACTCTCCAACCCCACGTCCTTCGCCCCCTGTGGTGTCCAGCCCCTTTTCCACTGGGCACTCACAGAATTACCACACCCACTGTTCCCCAAGGAACAGTACACCACAGCTTACTAGTTAAATCTCAGAACATAGCTCTTAAATGTATTTATAGAGAAAGCAATTATGTCTATTTTACAGAGTAGTGATTCATATGATAGGAAACAGAAATATTGGAAACAAATGGTTCCATATAAATCATAACACTCATAGAGCCTAAACTCAAGTAACAAGATGCCGTCTTGTCGAGTAAGGTACAGCTGACCCCAAAGTCTCTTGGTTTTTCAACCAGAATGGCTGAGACCCTTCTTGCATGAACCCCAGCCAGCTGGCAGCTTCCTCTTCTCTCTCCCTCCTTCCCCCCCCGCCCCCCCCCATGAAGAGTGCCAGGATATCTTTCTGCAGTCCTAGATGTACCAGACCAATCCTTTCGTTCTTCACCTCTAAAATAGGGTCCGTTCCCCACTCCCCCCATATCTCTTCCTGTTAGTTTTCCACCTGAAGTCTCCACAATCTCTTCATTAGTGTTTGACTCAGTATGCAGATAAACTCCCGGCTGATCATTTTGTCTCTTACAATGGGAGATAAATGTCTCCCACTTCCTGTCTAGTGGAATCTGAGTTAAGGCATCATGCTACCTCTAAGTGATCTGCCGTTAGCTACAAGGTCTTAGAAACAATTTCATGTGCGTACACACCTTCTTACATATTAACTGTACTTACATTTTTGCAAAGATTACGATCAGTGTGACATAAGCTTCCAGTAGAAACCGTACATGTCCCTCATTGGCAAACTAGAATGAAAATACCACGCCCAGGGAATCCGTGTAGCTCTTATGCATTTTATTGTATTGTTTTTTAACTTAAATTACGCAACACAGCTTACAAGAATCTCTCTTGCTGCTAGTGCCTCACTTTATACAATTCCGATCTAACTTTTATGTTGATCAATTGTTGTGAAAGCCAACCAGAAATGTTATGTTAGCAATGTTTTTTGTGTGATTTGGAAAGAGATTTGATTATGGTCTGAAATAATAAGCTACAAAAACTGGTGTAACTTACTATTCTGGTCATTAGTAACTTGAGCTACTGCCTTTTAGGTTCTTGAGCTGTTTAACTGTACCTGCATGTCTCTTGTCTTTGGTTCTTTTGATGAACTTTGTAGCTAGCTTAATGGTCTGGGAAAAATGCGTTTTTTAAATCCAGTTTTGCTGTACCGTTGTGAGCTTCAAGGCATTTCTTCTGTCTTCGTGCCACACTCACTTCTGGCTGCCTCTGCGGGAGGGAGAAGAGGAGAGTCTTTGAATCTACCTAAATGGGTGCTTAAACAGTACCAACCAATGAATGTCTGACAGTACTGCAGGTTTCCATGCTATTTCAGATATGGCAATAAATGTGCATTAGAACTTACCTCTGTCTAACATAGACGTCCCCACTCTTATCTAGAATGTGCCTCCAATGTATACACATGTTGGGTTTTAAATACTGACTATATTGCTTGCTATTCACAGGGACACAGCAGGACAGGAGCGATTTCACACCATCACCACCTCTTACTACAGAGGCGCCATGGGAATTATGCTAGTGTATGACATCACTAATGGCAAAAGCTTTGAAAACATCAGCAAATGGCTCAGAAACATAGATGAGGTGAGCAGTGCCAATGAGATCCTGTCCTCTGCTCTAACTGCATCTGCTGTATTACAGGTCCAACATGCTGCTGAAAGTAGACCCTGCAGAACTGAGTCTGAGACTAGCTGTTTCTCCCTGGCAAATATGCTACCATAGTAGCCTTTATTATCAAGGAGACAGATGAGGGTAGTGATGATGGAGCTGTCAGGCTGGTTTGTGTATGCCATACCTCTGCCCCATGAGGTAGAGAATTTGTTGATGGTCAGAACTTTGACTAGCAATGTTGCTCTCTGAAACAAATCTTAAGAGTTAAAATTCTTACGCTAACCAACTTCTAAAGTTTATTAAAAATAGTAATAAAAACTTTAGGGTTCTTTTCTCCATTCAAGAGATCGGGTGAGGGTGTGTGCCTTTCTCCAATAAACCGGCTCTACTGTTAAGAACGGTTACCCACACACATGTGGCCTGCCATGGTAGCAGCTATTGTTGCAGTAAGAACCATGATTCAAGAATAATAGTAATTTCTATACTTTAACATTACTTGGTGAAATGTACTGTCCTAGTACAGATTACATATTTATGGGTTTCTCCATCATGGAAGCTAAATGTGTTTTGCAAAGAAGGAAAGATCTCTTAAATGTCAAGTTCAGTTTTGTGGGAACCAAGCACATTCTTGACAGTGTTTCATACTACTTCTGGATGGCAAATTCCCTACAGGGCTTACTGACGCCAGTTATGTAACGCCACTCTGCCCTCATTGCAAGAATGTCAACCAGTAGAAGTTGGTAGAACTACACAGGTGATCTGATTAAGTGGAACAAACTGATCAATATGGAAATCTAAAATGGCTTAATTCCTAGTGAGTCAAGTCTTTATTTGGAGGGGAGAATTAAGTATTTCCTCAATGAGAAATCTGAGATGTCAGACCAACTCAGCCATGAAGTTCTCCTTTCTCTGATAGTCCTCCTCCTTTGATATGTTGGTCACTATTGCTCCACATGTTAAATGGAGCAGGTGTTTGCCTTTTCCTGCTCCTCAAGGAAAAGGAGAAGCTGCTTTATCTGATGCAACCCCTTCTCCCCCAAAAAACCTAAAGCAACAGAAAATCATGACTTTAGTACTGAGTATACTTGGAGATGAGTACTGTTACACTTTGGTGAGATAAAGGTCCTAGGAATAAGCAAGTGAAGATGAGGCAGTCCCAGAAATGAAATAATTGACAAGCTTTGTTGGGGAAGAAATTGGCAGAGACACACAGCTGGTGGGGAAGGGAGAGGAAGAGTTGGTGGGCACAGAGGCAAGAGGAAATGAGCATTAAAGACAGTATAGGAGAATATGCAACATGATCCATTATAGGTAAGCCCTGTATACTTTGCAGCCAGCTGAACCTAAAATTTGAAGCAAAGTCCATTTAATCAGCTGTGGAGGTGTATGTGTGAGTGACTGCTGCTTCATGGAAGTTGCCAGGAAGCGTTAGCAGCTGAGATGGGAATTTTTGGCACAGCTGGGTTTTGGCACCTAGGAAGCAGAAGGACTTGTGAAAGAAGTGTGTTAGCTGAGTTTCTGCTGAAATGATCAGTCTTTAAGGCCTGGTCTACACTACAAAGTTAGGTCAAAGTAAGCTGCCTTGCGTCGACCTAGTTGTGTGCACGGCTACGCTTAAATTTATCTCCCACTCATCTAAGTTCCCTGTTATGTCAACATAGTAACACCAGCTCCCTGAGTGGCTTTGAGCCATGGTTGACATACACGAGTCAGTGCTGCGTGAGTGTAGATGCATTGTTTTTGTCAACCCTAACAGTCATCCAGCAGCTGTCCCGCAATGCTTGACAGACCTGGTCACTGTTGTGAACTCCACTGCCCAGGGGTCATGTGGACCAGAAGCCTCCCCCCTTAAAATCCCTTCATATATTTGAAATGGCTTTCCTTGGCTGTCCATCTTGCTCAGCACCCCTCTATC